CAATGGGGTACGACCCATTGGATGCAAGTGGGTCTATAAGAGAAAGAGAGATCAGATTGGAAGGTTGAGACCTTCAAGGCTAGGCTTGTTGTGAAAGGTTATACCCAGAAAGAGTGTATTGATTATGATGAGACCTTTTTTCTACTAGCTATGCTTAAGTCCATTCTGATTCTTTTGACTATAGCTGCTCATATGGATTATGAGGCCTGACAGATGGATGTCAAGACGACTTTCCATAACGGAAACCTTCAGGAGGACATCTATATGTAGCAACCAGAGGGATTCATTGTTAAGGGACATGAGCATCTAGGGTGCAAGCTTAATCGGTCTATTTATGGGCTGAAGCATGCTTCGAGATCTTGGAACATCCAGTTTGATGAGGTAACCTAGTCGTGCAGGTTCACTCAGTTTTCAGATGAGCATTGTGTGCACAAGAAGATTAGTGGGAGCGTGGTGGTGTTTTTTGTGCTTTATGTAGATGAGATACTTCTTATTAGAAATAGTAAGAAGGAGTTATTAGACGTAAATGTGTGGTTGTATAAACAGTTTGATATGAAAGACTTAGGCAAAGCAGGACACATTCTTGGTATAAGGGTCATTAGAGACCGTAAGAAGAGAATGTTTTGCTTATCCCAGTCTACATACATAGATATTGTCTTGGCTAGATTCAGCATGCAGGATTCTAAGAAAGGTATGTTACCTTTCAGACATGGAATATGTCTATCCAAGGAGATGTCTCCTAAGATGTCTCAAGAGATAGAATACATGAAGACAATTCCTTATGCATCGATCGCAGGAAGTCTTATGTACGCTATGTTGTGTACGAGGTTAGATATTAGATACGTCGTTGGCATGGTGGCTAGATATCAAAGTAATCCGGGACATGAACATTGGTCCGCGGTCAAGTACCTGAAGTGGACTAAAGAGTACATGGTAGTTTACCGTGCAGACAACTTGTTACCTCTACATTACAGTGATTCTGATTTTCAGTCTGACAGGGACGGGAGTAAGTCAACCTCAGGTTATGTGTTTACCTTGGGAGGTGGAGCCATTTCATTGAGGAGTGCTAAGCAGAAATGCGTGGTAGACTTCACCATGGAAACTGAGTACATAGCAGCCTCAGAGGCAATGAAAGAGGCAGTTTGGCTTAGGAACTTCTTGGTGGACTTAGAGGTGATTCCAAGTTTGCCACGTGGTATCACCATGTACTGTGATAACATGAAGAAGTAGCAAACTTAAAGGAACCACAAGCCCACAGAGCAAGAAAACATGTAGAGCACAAGTACCTGATACGAGATATCGTGGGTAAAGGAGACGTCGATGTTGTCAAGATTGCATCAGAGGACAACCTAGCTGATCCTTTCACGAAGAGTTTTCCGGGGAAGGTCTTCGTCAATCACACAGAAGGAATGAGAGTCAGATGTATGGTGATAGGATCGACATAAGTCTTTTAGAATAACATATTAATAGGACTTTACTTGTAATAGCGAAAGCTTTAAGTATAAGTGGGAGATTTTTGGTGTTAGATACTGAAAGCTTGGCTTTTGATGATATTATATTTCTGCCCTTTATGAATGAGAATCATGTTCGATTAAACAATTTCTATGTTCTGTTTTTTTGCACTTAGATAGAATGGGTCATCATCGGGAGAACAGAAGATCATTCTATCAGTTACTTGCGAAACAAGAATTAACGGTTCACAAACCTAGATAGAAATGAACACCCCCATCAGAACGGTTGTAGTGTCAATGGTACACTCGGTCTTGACTGATTAGTTGCAGTTGTAACAACAAATTTCGTGAATTGAATTTAAAAACACGAAAAATATTATTCAAATGAATTTCTTGAATCAAAATAAATATTGCGGGTTACAATCTCTATTTTCTCCTCTGATTCTTCTCACAAACAATTTTTAAGTCTTGGAGCGAAATCTTCGGCTTGATCTTCTCC